ACACATAAACATTCGTCATTTCAGACATTTGTAACGAACCTGTGCTCCGTCGCAAGATCACTCACTTCAAACGCTATCAGTTTCACGCGTCTCGGATCCACGGTTCCTCATCATCAGTTTCAGACGACATGTCAAATAACGATGCTGTTATAGAATCTACCGACTGTTGTCGGGTTCCCATACAATCAACAAATACATTCACGCCTGGATTCTTCACAAAATGAGCAAAGAGAAAAGTTCGAATTAACTTCCAAAAATTAACTCCCTCGTGGAGGTCAAGGTCCCATTCACGGCATTAATTTGATTTCATAACAAAACAAACAAAAAAAATAATAGAATAAATACAAATACATTTAACATATTACTGAACATATATTTACAAAAGTATTGAACATGAATTTACAAATTATTGAACATGCATTTACAATATTATTGAACATTTATTTACAAAAGTATTAAACATATCTTTACAATTTATTTAACATTTACACATGCACCATTGTATTATAAATTTTTCAATACATGTACAACTATAAAATATTTAACTTAGATATAACTTTCGGAATAGAAATAATAAATATCGAACATAATACACGGTATATAGAACGATTCAATTCCGCAGTTTTTGTGATACCAGAGACCACATTATAATATATTATTTGATTGCAGCACAATCTCGATTTGCAGAAGTTAATGCTGAATTGGTAGACAAGATGGCCAAGCCGTTTGTTCCAGAGAACACAGCACGGAAAAACCAATGGGCTATAAACCTAAACCGGAAATGGCGGGAACACGTTGTCCAACAGAATTTAAATGAAGAACTGATGGAATTACTGCAGGACAAGGAGAATATTGAGGACCTTTCTGATGAAGAACTTAATTATGCACTACCATTTTTTGTACTCTCCTTAAAGCGGGAAGATGGGCGTGAGTATACTACTACTGGTAGCCTATTCTCCATAATGACGGCAATTCAGCGCCATTTTGAAACGCTTGGGCGACAAATTTCTGTGCTTCAAGATCCCAAATTCAAAGACGTAAAATACTGCCTATACAATGCAATGCAATCGGTCACTAAAAAGGGGGTTGGTATAAACAAAAAACAAGCCGCAGACATTACAATTGAGAAAGAACATGTTCTTTGGGAAAAGGGGTTCTTGGGATCAGAAAATCCCCAAACTCTTTTGAATACCATATTCTGGAGTGTTCGCATACACTTTGGTCTTCGAGGGGGGAGGGGATGAGCACAGAAATTTGACACGCAGAAATTTGAACGTTATAGCGGACTCGGATGGAAAAAGGTATTTAGAATACTGCGAGAGTGTGTCTAAAACCTATCGCAGTGGAATTAAACACAGGAGAGTGGACCCCCATAGAGACCGTGCTTATGAAGCAAATGACAAAACCCGTTTCCCCGTGACGCTGTTTGAAAATTATTGTTCCAAGTTGCACCCAAATTCTGATCCCAATCATTTCTACTTCCAGCCCCTATCCAAACCCAAGGGAGATATATGGTTTTCCGAAGTCCCCGTTGGACACAACAAGCTGGCCAATACAGTAAAAAAACATCACGAATCTTGCTGGATTCAAAGGTTTCTATACAAATAATTCCCTGCGAGCTACAACAGCTACGATGTTGTTTCAGGGAAACGGGCCATCGCAGTACCGCTGTATACGGATACAAGCGCGCGAATGACGATCAAAAACGCAGTGTTTCCCGCGTTATCCAATTGACATGTAAAAAACCCCTCTTTGGCTACCACTAGTGTTCCCAGTCCCTTTCCAATTTCCCCCGTATATAACTTCAATAACTCCAAAATTCATTTTCACATGTGAAAAATTGTGAAATTATTCATCATAATGCAATATACAATGTTATACCACATACATATATTAAAAGCATTTGTTGAATGTTGTCATGTGTACTGTGTAACGACAATCAGTTTTCAAAACTAGCTTGCGGGAACAACCGGTATTGAATGGAATTTGCACGTGCCCAGGTTGGTATACCACAGGTAGGGTGGTATATGCAAATGATGCAATATACCAACCTGGGCACGTGCAATTTCTATTCAATAGCGGGTTGTTCACGTGGGTTACACACCGGGCTGAAACAAAAGAGCCGTGGTGTAAGTATATACATTGAAAAAAAAAATGCCTAAAAATAACATGGTCCCTCATCCCTCACTGGTCCCTCACAGTTTACTATAAATAAAGAAGGAGGGACGGGGTGCTGCAGAACCCCCATTTTCTATTCATTATCCGAATTTGTCCTGCAATTCACATGAAAAAATGTTAATGTCAGTTTCAGGTGAATTTCATGTCAAATCCATGTCAATTTCAGTCAGGATTCTTTTCAGATCAAATTAACACAAGGAATGTTGCCTGCTTATATTTTTGGATGAATCCGTAGGTTACCTCTATTTATTGCAGTCATGCATGCTCAGTACAATTTTTCTTTTATCTTTTAATGTATACAATGGTACATACATTTCTTTAAAGTTGTTTGATTGTTGAAAATCATCACACATGATAATAATGATTACGTATACCCCTGTAGATCACATGGACAACTATTTTGCACAAAACAAACCGGTATTTACAGTTCTTACCTTATACACGGGAGTGTCTCCGTCAGCATCCTGGGCAGTGCCGTATTGACCGCCCGTTATAGACATGTTTTATCCCAGCCGACTAATATAACAAGATGGCGTAGTGTCTTGACCGTAGGTTTTTTTCACTGATTGTGACGGAAATCCAATCAATTTTGAAATACACAGCAAATACGTGCAAAATGTACGTATGCAACTTAGCAAGCTTGCAAATTAAAACAAGAAACATTCACTAAAAGCTCCATTGTTTGTATCGCTCACGTCAATATGACACGTGTGATTGGCGTTGTTGTCTAGCAGTGTGTTGTGTTCTTGACATGATTTTAAATCAAAACAACTACAGTTATAAATGGGAAATTGTACAGCTGGCAGACACTGCTAAAATCACCATGCATAGATCATGTGCGTACCACGGCCTTAGTGTTGGCTTCAGTGAACCGTGTAGATCAGGTATGTTTATCCATAAATATTTTAAAAGTAATAAGTTACGCAGCGGACCGTGTTAATACTTTCACAGGCTGTCGACTACCATGTAACGACTCACACACATGTATAAACATGTATATACGGATATATACCGATTTTCTTTTCAATTATTTAAGGAATGACCAAGATTTCTTTTTTGGTATATACGGTATATACCGGAGAAAAAAAATGTGCACAAAAAAGTGCACAATTTCTTTTCGGTATATACCGTATACACCAAAACAAAATCTTGGTCATTCTTTATAATTTAATTTTAAAAAAGTAGACAAACACGTTGTAAATGCACAATTAAATATTTATTTAATTTTTACGTAAACTAAACAATTGCGCTAAAAAAAAGCTGTGTTGTATGTTTGCATTCTGAAGTGTAAAAAGTAGTTCCGTCATCAGTTATTTTTCTTTTTAGGTATATACGAAAAAAAAAAGTATTATGGGGGAGATAGGCAAAATTAAATTATTTATTTATGTCCGTTTCCCTGGTTTGTTTTACACTTTAATACCATGTAAAATTGAATATCATTGAACTCGACATGGATGAGTTGAAACAAATATGAAGATACATTTTACACAGAACATTTATTTAAGAACATTGACAGAATATTGACTTATTTCCTAATGCATATGGAAAGATGAATGGAACGAGTGGAAAATTAAATGTGGCTTAGCATTGCGACTTCAAGTATCTCCAATCTTGTTGAGGTACTTTTGCAGCCTTAAGTAAGGTACTTCTGCTGCTTAAATACAGGTTTTTTTTGTGAACTGTACATGATTTATCTAGTCATTCATTGAGTTACAGTCAGCAGCTTGGGATGGGGTTGCATCATTGAGAAATGTCATTGGTGTGGTAAACTATAAATGAAAAGGTTCAATGTGCAAGGTGGCGTTTTTTTTCCCCTCACCTTCTAGTCATTAGGATAATGGCGTTACATGTACTTCACTCCGCCATCCCAAGATGTCCTTGTTCACCCAATCTGGTTACTCCAGGTGCAATTGCATAGAAGATATGCCCCGTACAAATATTTTCAAAAGTTAACGTCAAAGGTCAAGTCATACGTCACAGTGACCTAAATCTTGCACTCTGCACTCCTCCATCCCAAAATGTCCTTGGACATCCAATCTGGTTACTCCAGGTGAAATAGAAGAGAAGATATGCCCCGGACCAACTTTTTCAAAAGTAAAGGTCAAAGCATAGGACACAATTAATTAGATCAAATTGACCCTGCTATTGCCTCTTCACTCCGCCATCCAAAGATGTCCTTATACACTTAATCTGGTTACTCCAGGTGAAAGAGTAAAGAAGATATGCCCAGTCCAACTTTTTCAAAAGTTAAGGTTAAAGGTCAAGTCATACGTCACAGTGAGGTCAAAATGACCTTCTTGCACTCTTCACTCTGCCATCCAAAGATATCCTTGTACACCAAATCTAGTTACTCCTGGTAAAATAGTATAGAAGATATGTCCCTGACAAACCTCTCGGACGGACGGACGGACGGACGGACGGACGGACGAAGCGCAAACCTATATTCCTTCTAGACCTTTCTGGGACTAAACAAATATAAAAAACAACGTACTTGTTTTTCAGTTCATGAACATCTACATGTTTGTCTAAATTGCTAAGCCCAATGCCACAGGCTAGTACAAAAATGTCAATGTTTACTTTGAAACATAAGTTGGGCTTGTATTTGTTTTTTTCTAAACAACCTTCCAACTATAGTTCACTAATTACTATGTTGTATATCTCGGCCATGTATGACCCCTTGAAGGAGCTAGCATGAGTGTATTCCTGTGTGGTAACAGACCTGGAGAAAACTTTGGTAGTTGTCTATGGATTGCCAGTAGGTGTTTTTCATTGTAGGACATTTATTTCAACCATTTCAATATAATAAGGTCACCTTGCTGGAGTGACAGGACCCTAGGAGCAATCACAGTTAGTACGAGTGTATTAATATGTTCATAACCTGCAAAGAGCATGGTGTTTTCTAAGTACACACAGACAAACAAACGCAATAAAAGTAGCTCAAAGATTATTCTAAATCAGTATTAAGTAGTTATATATAATTATGGTTCCCATTTTGTAACTCTAAACCAGCATTCAATTTCTCAATATTCCAATATTGGAGAAGCAATGGCCGCAATATCCGTTCCTTTTGAACATGATTAAACAAGTTAATCATTTACATTTTAATGTAAGAAAGTATTATATCTTGAACATATTTTGAATCTAAATCAAGATAAGTAGATTTCGCTTAATATCACTTCTGATTTGACAGGTGAAATGTGATATTAACAGGAACATGACATAAAGAGAAAACGTGTTTTTCTGACCATTTCAAATGTCAAAGCCCGTAAATGACCGTATTTAAATGTCAAAGTGATATGGTATTAAAAAAAAGATCGTTGGATAAAAATAGTTGTAATTAACACGACTTTTCTATATTAATAGTGAAGTAATCGCTTTTTTGTTTGTTTATTTCATTGAAATATCCAGCTAGATTACTTGCTAAATTCCGGCGGTTCTCAACGATCGTGTGTGATCAAATAAGCCTAGAGGCTAGATTGGCATGTAGGCCTTGTTGCTGTCGGCCGTTAGTCAATATTTTGCTGCAAATTAAATCGTAAAGAATGACATGTTAGTACAAATTTACCTTAATCTTTTCAATGATTTGATTTTGAAAACATCTTAGTAAATTATATCAATCAATCAAGCGTTCCAAGTTGGAAGTTTACATCGTTTTCTGCGAATGCAGGGAACGTGAAAAAGCTACTAGTGATGAACTGTGATCTTTTGTACCACTGTACCAGTATCTTCAGAAGCCAGATGCTGCAATAGATATAAACAATTACAACACAGAAATGATAATTATACAAAAGTGATCTCACCAAGTTATACTAGAGATACATGGACCTATTATGTTATTTGTTGTAGTGATGTTAAATTCAAAAATAAAATAAAAGAATCATATAATCCAAAAAAGCCTTTTTGAATTCCTTGAGAGAAATTCGTGTTGGGACTGACCAACATATATTATTGATATATCATTTGTGGTGGGTACATAATTGTCTGACATACGGTATATGTATCGCTGACAATTTTCAGAAATAAATATATTGTGGAGGAATGAATGACACGGGGGTAATGAAATAACAATTTCAGAAAGCGACTTAGGACCTTTCCATATCCATGAAGAATGCTTGTTTCTAGTATATCTGGACCTGAAGAAGAAGATTGTTGAAATTTCAGCCAATTTATCCTCTTTGGCCCCTCCCTTCAGGCCCTAGGGTAGGGCCAGGTTCTTAATTTTCCTACCATCAAAATTCAGTCATATGATAGTCATTCCAACCAACTTTGAATTTGTTCCCACCGAAAGTAAACAAAATATAGCCAAAAGTGTTATTTCACCATATATACAACAGTAAGGCCAAAAACAAGATTACATATGCTTCGGATTTTCCTGTGGACCTTAGAGAACATTTTATCACCTACTTTGTATCTATGAAGATCATTTTAATAGTCCAGCAAAGTTCACATACACTTTCTTCCTGTTATGGTCATGGTATCCTGGCCACATTCTTGACAGAATAATAACCAGTGAAATGCATAGAAATTCATTTTTCTTACATTTGTTATTACCCTGTAAGAAAAGTATATATTGATCCATGAAAAGAAAAGAAATAAAATGAAATTGCCTGCTTACTGACCAACCCTATTTTTCTCTGTAGTGTTGCATGATCATTGTTGTTTTTGTTTTATCCTAAATATTAATCCTTTCTCAAGGAAAAATTCATAAATTTAAAATAGGTCTACAGAACCTTTCTATCCGTGAAGAGTACTTGATTCTTTCATCTCTGTGCCTGAATAAGAAGACTGTTGGAAATTTAGTCAATTTGACCTCTTTTGGGCTCAAACCCCTGGCAGATTAGATCCACATGTAATTCATAAATTTGGCTTGCATTTTATCTTGGAACTTTCCTTCAAAAATAAACTGAAGTGGTTACAATGACGGACAAAAGGCATTTACAAGAGGTCAACACCAAGACTTTAATACCTAAAAAAATCAATGTTCTAGCTTTAGTTCACAAATCATAAATGTAATACTCACTGCCCACCAAGATGTTCGAATGTCCTGTTGTTGTATGAATGCAGTGAAAAGAACAAATTAACAAGGATGCATATATCTATATAAAATGTACTAAGTAATGGGAAATGAGTTGTATATAATTAGTTGTTCATGTTTATATATGTTTGCAATATTTACATAATTTCCAGTTGTACTATTATTTCCACCAGGATTTGAACCTGGGTCTCCCACCGCAGAGTGGCGAGTGTGATGACCCCTACACTATAGAAATATCTATAGCACAACTGACATTTTCAGTCAATATTTATTTCCATTTTTAAAATGTTTTAACCTTTGAATTTATATTTACATTCTCCCTCTGCTTTTCTTATATTGGAGATTAGAATACCGGTATTAACCAAGTTTATGCCAGGCTCAGAACTACAATTTGCAATGTGTAAAAAAATATTATGAGGTTTTTTTATTCCAAGATATAAACCAGTAAAATAAAAAGATCCTCAATTTTCCATTCATTTTAAGTATGATTCTGCAATATAATTGTCAAAAATAATATTGCACACATATACTGGTACATGCAATTCAAATCTGTATATAAGGTTATTCATGACGTATTATCACGGTTCTCCCCAGTTGAATCTCTACATTT